TTCGCTATAGGGCACGTGCGCTCGCCAGACAGACAGAGACATAAAGACAGAAAGCGAGAAATCACCCCCCAGGGGGGATGGTCACGCTGCAATCCCTTCTCCTCCATTCTCCTCTCGGGATCATGGGCACGCACGCACACGCGCCTGGCGTGAGTTTTAAGCCACCGGGTCCGGGACGCGAACCGCGGTCGACTACGTGGGAGTCCAGTGACATAGCCATTACGCTAACTGCTGGTTCCCACCCCCATGTCACTTTTAATCAGAAACAAGATGTGGTCTATCAAGTAATTAGATTTATTTTCTTATGAACTAACTCTGAAAAACATATGGAGTTCTTTGTGCATGATGGGATTATTCACATGGACTAATTGTGTCTTCCTAAGGTGAATACTTAATAATAATAATACCTATTTTTGAGCTGAACTTATCTATATGAGTAAGGAACTGAAATATAAAGCCTGTAAGTTTCCTAAATTACATTCCATTCTCTCCCCTTTTCCCTGTTCTCTGCTGCACACAAATTAGCCAATTTTGTTCCAGATAACCATTTTCTTACACAGAAACATATATCTTAATTATTTTTTAAATTTTCTGTCTGACCTAGTTACTAAAGAAACTCTTTTAAATCTATTTTTCCTTCACTCTTTGTCCCTCCTTTTTTTCTTTTTTTTTTAATCTTGGGTCTCCTTTTTGTTTTTATTTGTTTGTTTGAGGAATAAAATGCTGATATTAGAAAAGGCATGAAGTTAGATTTGAAATACAGTGCTGCTACTTCTACTATGTGCATTAGGTATATTACTTCTCTCAGTTTCAATTTCTTAATCAGGGTTGGATACATAGGAATCGGCTATCTTACCATATTTCTATAATTAAATAAGGCCACATTTATGAGTCACCTAACAGTACATATCCCAGAATTATGCTTAATACTGGGTTGCCGGGAAAGTCATGACATATTTTCTGTGCAAAAATGCATCATGACTTTCTCAATGACCTAATAGTAACATGTTCTTTTATCTTCATTCTATTATAAATCTCTTTAAAAAGTAACATAAGGGACCAGCAGATGATGTAATGGTTAGTCACTGGACTCCCACATAGTTGACCACGGTTCAAGCGAACTAAGTAGCTTAAAAACACTCACACCAGGTGCCTGTGTGCATGTGCCCAAAATACTGAGAGGACAATGGGGAAGAGATTGAGATTGCAGCCTGGCTATCCCTCCTGGGGTGGGGGGAGAAGGGGAATTTTTCCTTTCTATTTCTGTCTCTCTGGTGAGTGCACACACCCTGTAGTAAAAATCTCTCTTAAAATAACAATAATAACAAAATTTTATAAAATAGCACCTTCTAGTAACATACTTGCAATAAAAAAATGGAAAAACACAGATTTGAGGGTTCTTAGACATACTTAAGAATTAAGCCTACAAACCTCCAAAATCTTCAAAAATATCTAGAATTTCTTTTGAAATTTCACAAAACTTTCTTACTTTCCTCTTCTCTTTTAGTTCAACCTAGGTTTATTTTTCTTTTTTTTTTTTTTTCGTAAGAGAGGTTTTGCTCTAGGGCACATGTGCTCACCAGAGATACAGAGAGATAGAGACAGAAAGTGAGAAATTACCCCCAGGGGGGATGGCCACACCATAATCCCTTCTCCTCCATTTTCCTCTTGGGATTTTGGGCATGCACGCACATGCGCCCGGCATGCATATAAAGCCACTGGATCTGGGACCCAAACCATGGTCGGTCATGTGGGAGTTCAGTCACATAACCACTACGTCATCTGCTGGTCCCACAACCAAGTTTTTTTTTAAGTCCCATATTTCAGAGCATAATAACTATTTTTTATTTCTATCTTTTTTTGTTTAGAGATTGATAGAGTTTGAAATATTGTTGTTCTTACAAGTATTGTTTAGGCGAATTAAGGGGGTAGACTTTTCTGATGCATAAATATAATCACCATTTATAGTGTTTTGTTTTGTTTCCCTCTGGAAAAGTGAGTTTTCTAAATTATTGTTTTAAAAGCTAGCTGGGTTAAGAGCTGGCTACTTAACCTAGTATTTGGGGGAGCTGGATCCCACAAGACCTACTGCTTTTCAAGTCCTGGTGTGGTGGCTTGGAGAGCATGTCAAGTATGCACGTGAATGCCCAGAGTCCCACTGGATGGAGAAATAGAAGAGAGCGAGTTGTTGTGACACGACTATACCCCACTAGGTTGTGCTTTCTCCTTCTCTGTCTCTCTGTCTTTCTCTGGCAAGTACACCTACCCTCTTAAAAACTTTTTAAGTGAGCTTTAATGTTACAGCTAATAAATTAGAGACTTCTAAATATGAAAGCTAGATATAATCTATTTTTTAACAATAGTTTTTAGTTAATGCTATTGTGAAAATCTTTTGATAGTTTAAGTTTCAAACTAATTGAACTATTTAAGATTTTTCCGATATTACTGAGAATAACTCAATAATCTTATGGTATTTTTAAATAGGTTACAGAAATGTGCATGTTCCATAAGAGATTCAAAACTGAGAGGTAGGTTTAGAGATGAGTTTTTAGTAATATTTTCAGATATAGACAAAAGGAGTCAATTACTGATTAAATATTTACAATAACTATCAAACGATATATTTCTGTTATAGATATCTTAACGCATGGTGTTGCTTATCATCATGCTGGGATGGAGTTATCAGATAGAAAAGTAGTTGAAGGAGCTTTTACTGTTGGAGATCTACCAGTTCTTTGTAAGTAAAACATACTTCTTGTGGATATTATAAGATATTTTAGAAGATTATTTGAAGAGGGGAAAAAAAGGAAGAAGCTCAAGTATTTTGTCTCATGTCTACTTTTCTTCTAAGAATTTAAAATTATATAACTATCCATATATACATAGGCTACAATAAGTTCTTTGGCAGTGTTTATGTTCTTATGTCATTAACATACGTCTATGTTGTATGTTACTATGTTATTAAACGTAGTATAATTTGAAAACTAAGAACTTAATAGGTTTTTGGTTTTAAGGTGTATTTTTATTTTAGATTATAATGTTCTTTTTTCCCTTCTTTTCTATAGTTATTATATATGAGCTTTTATTTCATTTATAAGAATATGTCTCTTATAGAAAATATCTTCCTAAAGCAATAGTTATTAGGCTGAAATTAAATTCTTTAATCTGATGCAGTTACTACCAGTACGTTAGCTATGGGAGTAAATTTGCCTGCTCACCTAGTAGTTATAAAATCTACAATGCATTATGTTGGAGGAATGTTTGAAGAGTACAGTGAAACAGATATTCTACAGATGATTGGTAGAGCTGGTCGACCTCAAGTAAGTGACAGTACTTGTTTTTTTGTAACTTTTTAAAAAGACATACTAAAAACAAAAAACTGTTTTTGTGTATTTTTTGACTAGCATTTCAATGAGGTTTAAAGTGTGGCACATATACTCTATGGAATCCTACTCAGCTATAAAAAACAACAAGACCCTGGCTTTTGACAAAAAGTGGATAAATATGGAAGATTTACTGCTGAGTAAAGCTAGCCAGGCTATGAAGGAGAGACATTGTATGTCTCCACTTAATATGTAAGGAGTGTCTGAACTCTATGGCTGAAACTGAATGACTAAAGGATATAGAAACAAAGTAAATGGTTGTGAATACCAGATACAGTGTGGGAAGAGGGTGGGTGAAGGAGTAGAGTATGAGGAAGGACATTAAGGAGAAAAATAGAGAGGCAAGTCATTTATGGGACAAAGAAATGGATAACTTTATAGTATTGTTAACTGGACTGGTGAGAAATGTACACATGTTGGAATATTCACTTTGCAAGCTAAGTAACCTGTGAGTGAATATATAAAAGAAATTGAAATAAAAAATTAAATGAAAAGACAAATAAATAAATATAATTTTTAAAAATGCAATTTACACCAGAAAAAAAAAAGTAATGTAACTGAGAAAATCCACCTTAATGGAGGAATAAAAGTAGAACAAGACTCCCTAAATGGGATACAGTCCATTCACTCCTAAACTTCCACTGGTTGATGAAGGGATGTTTCATGAATGGATATGGTGTTTAAGGGTTTTTTGACTTAGAGGGTTTTACGTTGTTTTGTTTTCGATTTTGAATGGGGATGCTCTTGGCATTTTGAGTGGAACCGTTTTTTATTATGTAGTACTGTCATGTGCATTATAGAATATATAGCATTCCTCGATGCTAACACTAATGCCAGTAGTGATCCCTAAGCATTGTGACAGTAATAGTCAGCCCTTGGGTCTGTGGCAAAGTTGTAATGTACTAGTCAAGAGAAGCCAGATCACACATGGCAACCCCATTTGGAATCTCCAGCCTGTCAGCTGAAACACACTAGGCATGTGCATGAGTGCTTTGTATCTGACAGGCTGGACGACTGGAGGAAGATCATGATGTGCCTTGACCCAGTAGAAGGTGTACATCTCTTTCTCTTTCTCTCTCCTTTCTCTCTCTCATTGCCACTTGATATATAACGAATGTCCACCACTCTATGGTCGAAACTAGATGACTAAAGGATATAGAAACATAGTAAATGATTGTGAATACCAGATACAGTGTGGGAAGAGGGTGGGTGAAGGAGTAGAGTATGAGGAAGGACATTAAGGAGAAAAATAGAGAGGCAAGTCATTTATGGGACAAAGAATATCATAAATATATATATTTTAAAGCTTATGCACTGGAGCTGGCAGTTAGTATGCTGTTTAAGGCACTGGACTCCCACATGGGCAACCATGGGTCTGGGACTCGAACCACAGAGTCAGCCATTTGGGATCCAGTACTTTAACCACCAACCCACCTGCTGGCCCTATTTTGATTTTAATATTGCTAAAATATGTTAAATTGAAATCAAAGTGGCATATATGAGCTATACTCTTAGAAGGCTTTTAAATTAAATTTTCAGTTAACACTCAATTTCAAAAAGGATTTCTTAGGCCTCTTAACCTCTATGTAAGTCAAGGGGGCTACTTAATATAAAATGAAAGTCTTGAGTTATTGAAGAGGTTTGATACCAAGATGTGCTCTGTTTTACTAAATTTTTTCTATGTGATTTTTTTCCCTTCCAGTTTGACACTACAGCTACTTCAGTTATTATGACTCGGTTAAGTACAAGAGAGAAATACATTCAGATGTTAGCTTGTAGTGACACTGTAGAAAGCAGGTAATACAGAAAGTTTGGGTCCTTTTAAAGAATTAGGTTTATTTTTTTAAATAGGAGCATTCAATGGTGTTTCTTAGTATGTGGTATCAGATATCCTTGTTCTAAATGGCCTAATTTGTAATAAGGCTTCAATAATTATGATCATTTCACAATTTATATATTAAATCATATAAGTTTACAATTACTAATTTATAATACAAGGAGAAACATCCTTTCAAAAAATTTTAAAGGTTTTTGCCATAGGGTTGTGCATTCACTGGAGAGAGACAGAGAGTGATAGGGAACTTAAGAAAATCACCCCCTAGGGGGAATGACCACACCACATTCCCTTTTCCTCCACTCCCTTCTTGGGATTTTGGACACACATACCTGGCCTGATTTTTTTCTTTCTTTTTTTAGGGGTTTTTGCCATAGCGTGCAAGTGCTCATCAGAGAAAGAGACAGTCAGATAGAGAGTGGGAAAGTGAGAAGTCACCCCCCAAGGAGAATGGTCATGCTGCAATCCCTTCTATTCTCCTCACAGGGTCTTGGACACACATGCACATATGCTTGGCATGATTTTTTTTTTAAGAGAGGTTTTTGCTGTAGAGCACACGTGCTCACCAGAGAGACAGATAGAAAGTGAGAAATCACCCTCCCGGGTGGGATGGCCATACCACAACCCCTTCTCCATTCTCCTCTTGGGATTTTGGGCATGTACACACATGTACCTGGCATGAGTTTTAAGGGAGTCCAGCAACTTAACCATTACACCATCTGCTGGTCCCCCTTCACCACCACCATTAGTTTTAAGCCACCAGGTCCTGGACTCCAACTGCAGTCAGCCATATGAGAGTCCAGTGCTTTAACCACCACAACACCTGCTGGTCCCTATCTTTTTATGTTTTAAAAATTTGTTTAATAATAAGAGAGAAAAGCAGTTTGGGACCTTTTAATAAACTATTTGATCTACATGGGATCTTCAAAATGTTCAAGGAAAATATGTATTATGAAAAAAACTATGCCTTGATTTCACAGTTTTTTCACCAAAATAAACTTATATTTTAATTCCATTTTCTCACGAATTTATTGAATTTCTTCTTGTATTATCTCTTGGAGAAAATAGGACATAATTTACCCCCACCCTTTTTTAGAGCAATAAATTGTCTTCTAAAGCTACAAAGTAGAGAGGAATCTCAAATCTTTTTAAAAGTTGAACAGATTTTTCAAGATTTTCTTTCCTATTTCTTCAAAATTAAGTTATCTTTTATAAATTATGAAAGTAGCAATGGGTGTGTAATTATCAAAGTTTTAAAAGAGAATCATGGCATTGAAATGCATACAGTAATGCAAAGGTTGTTCTTTTTTTTCCCTCCCATTAGTTTGCACAGACATCTTATTGAGCATTTAAATGCAGAAATAGTATTGCGTACCATCACAGATGTGAATATTGCTTTGGAATGGATACGATCAACTTTACTTTATATCAGAGCCTTGAAAAATCCATCTTATTATGGTTTGTTACTTTCTTTGACTTGGAAAAGTAGTACCTTTTTTTCAAGCCAGCATAGTCTATATTTATACTAATAGGTTACAGAATAGATTAAAGAAACTAATAAGTAACAAACAGAAATGAAAGGTGACAATAGTCACAAATATATTTAGAAGCAAGAGTAGACAAAAAATGAGAAATCTTTGATCTGTTTTACTTATCTTTCAGTAAGTTTTGAAATTGGCACCATTAAAAATAGAACTAGTAGAAAAAAAAATTCAACCCCAATAAAAGTAACGGAAATGCTTTAAATCATTAAAAATAAGCTAAGTTTTAAAAAAAGCTCTTGAATTTTGTTTACATTTACTGTTCAAATGCTCTTTTACTCTGGATTTGAACAGTTTCTTTCCAATTTATAAGAAATCAAAGTAAATAATACTACTATTGCTCCTGGAGTTTTCATCTTGTCTCTACCAACAGCAGAGATCTGGTTATGTTGTTTCTAGAGGTTTTGTTTGTTTGTTTGTTTGTTTTCATGTGGTACAGGGTAGGAAATAAAAATACTTGGAGTTCTGAATGTCTAATTAAAACCTGACTCATTGCAGTAGTATTCAAACACATAAGGCTCAAAACTTTCAGATCTCCCAGGACAAAATTATCCTTCATAAAAAGAATATATATTGGGACCAACAGTTGGCATGATGTCTGTGTCTCTGGACTCCCATATAGTCGGCTGCTATTTGTGTCCCAGACCCGGTGGCTTAAACTCACGCCGGGCATGTGTGCGTGCGTGCCCAAGATCCCGAGAGGAGAATAGAGGAGAAGAGATTGCAGTGTGGCCATCCCCCCAGGGGGTGATTTCTCGCTTTCTGTCTCTCTGTCTCTCTCTGTCTGTCTGGCAAGCGTACGCACCCTATAGCAAAAAACCTCTTTAAAAAAAAAAAAAGGTGGCTGTTTTCTATAGATATTTAAGCCTTATAGAAGTCATTAAGTTATTATATATACATATATATATATATATATATGATTTAATGATTTAATGAGATTACTCTTCTTTAGTTACCTGAAGTCTATAAGAAACCTGTAAAGCTGAAGCAAATTAATTCTATTTTGACTTACACAGGTTTTAAATCTGGACTGAACAAAGATGGAATTGAGGCAAAATTACAAGGTTAGATGCATTTCCTTCTTTAAAAAATTATATTCTATAAATTTTAATGAAAAAGATCACTTATTTGAAAGTAAGAATACTTTCTTGTAAATTATTTTTAAAATGTAAACTTGTCTATAAAAATAAATGTATGAATTATTTCTTTTTCATATGTAAATAAAGCTTAGAAAATGTACTTTTTTTTACTGAATCTATTAATTCTATCAGAATGCCTTCCTTTGTATATGTTGACTTAGTTTATTTGTTTTTTATTTTTATAATGACCCTGGTTGGGACCAGCAGATGGCATTATGGTTACATTGCTGGACTCCTTGTAGTCAACCTTGGTTCAAGTCCCAGACCCAGTGGCTTAAGCCTCATACCAGGTGCTTGTGAGTGTGTGCCCAATATCTTGAGAGGAGACTGGAAAAGAAGGGTTGGAGGCATGGCCATCCCCCCTGCGGGGGGTGATTTCTTGCTTTCTTTCTCTGAGGCAAACAAATGCACCTTGTGGAAAAATCTCTCTTAAGAAAAAAATTAAAATATAAATAAAATGACCTTGGTCACAGGGGCTGGCAGGTGGTGTGGTGGTTAAGGCACTGGACTCCCACATGGCCAACTGTGATTCATGTCCTGGACTGACAGTTTGCTTTCACACTTTCCCTTTCTCACTCTCTGCATCTCTCTGGCCAAATTTGTAAAAAAAAAATAATAATAACAATAAATAAACTTAAATACATAAATATTTAAAATTAAAGATATAAATTAACAAAAGTAAAACGACCCTGATCTTTAAAAATGTTGCTTGTAGATCCCATTCTTTATTTATCTTTTCTAGGATAATTTTAATTGAAATATAATCCTAGTTTGAGTATAGATGCCTTATCCCAGTTGGTGCCAGTAATGTATTCCTATCAAATCCTAGCTTTATTATTTGGTTAATCACTTAGTATTTCATCACTGGTCTTTTTTTTTTTTTTTTTTAGAGGTTTTCACTATAGGGTGCGTGCGCTCACCAGACAGACAGACATAGAGACAGAAAGCGAGAAATCACCCCCCAGAGGGGATGGTCACACAACAATCCCTTCTCCTCCATTCTCCTCTCGGGATCTTGGGCACGCACGCACACGTGCCCGGTGTGAGTTTTAAGCCACCGGGTCCGGGATGCGAACCGCGGTCAACTACATGGGAGTCCAGCGACATAGCCATTACGCTAACTGCTGGTTCCCATAACTGGTCTTTTAAAATACCAATATATTGTCAAGCACTTACTAGGGTTAAAAATTGCTTTCTTCATTATGCTAACACTTTTTTCCACTAAAAGAAAAAATGTTGAATCCTTTATAAACATTTAGCCTATTTTAATTTATTCTTTACTTGGATATACATATAGGCAAATGAAACTGCAGAGATAAGGATGAAATAGTAGTTATCTTGCTTAAAGAATAAATACATTGGGGGTGGCTCTATAGCACAGCATGTAAGTACTGTAGAGAGCAGGATGTTACATGACTGATCATGTTTCAAGTCCGAGCCCTGGCAGCTTGAAAAACATGCTTTAGCATGGTTCACACATTCCCAAAATTCTGACAGGGTAAAAAATAAAGGGGGGAAAAAAAGGATTGTGGTGTTTGTGGTGTGATATGCCCTATTTGTGATAAGCAATTTCATGTATTTATAATGCTACTGATAAGATACAGTTCTATAAAATAGCTGTATTTTTATTGACCAATATTTCAATGGAATTTAAAAACTAAAGTCTAATCTTTTTTTTTTAATTTATTTATTTATATTCATTCACTGTACATCACTACAACATGCAAAATGAGATTTTCCATCCAGATTACACTGTATATTGGTTCAATCAAGCACATTAGCATACATGTTATCATCAACAAATAATTTTCCATTTCTTATTTCCTAATGTTTTTCTTTTTTTTTTTT